GGGGATTGTGTTTCGACATGAATCTTCGTGTCTATTGCGAGAAAGTTGTAATGGTAAAACGCATTTCTATCATTGTACTCACTGTAGACCTTTTTAGCATTTGAGCCCACTTCTTTTTTAATATTTGTCATAGAACATAGCGTTACCGTACAGGTTATTCTTTGTACTTGACCCGTGTCATTGAGAATGTAACGATAGTGCGAAAGATAGTAACTTCACGCTTCAACCCTTCCATAATCCGTAGCGGTTTACTTACTAACGCGAGAACTTGGTATTACACAAACCCCACGTAATAGCATAAAACACTTTGAAAATGCCACCCTTAATCCTTATTGCTTGCTCTGTTGTGTGTAAGTAGCTCATCAGTCAAACTTGCTTCGGTTAACTTCTATTGAGTTTGCGATAAAAAATACTGTGGACGTCTGATTGTGCAGAACTTCCGTTGCCATCGTTCTACGTCAATCAATTAAATTACTCTACTTGGGAGAGCTATGTTGGGGCAACGAACTTAGTTTTGGTATTTCCCGAGGCGAATTTGTAGCTACCGCCCGGCATTGTACGCACAAAACAACCGCCATAATTTATATAATGGGTATTTCAATTTATTAATTGCGTCCACTTTATAACCACGACCGGCGGATGAAAGGGTATGCTAAGTACAAATACAGGGTGGTCACGATTGAATGTATAAGTTGGTATTCCATACTTTCCATGGTCCGAGTGGTAGGAATTCTGCAGAATGGCGTAGAAACCCTTAGACTGAAAAAGAAGAAATTATCTTGAGCTAGAAAAAGTCATCACATGTCGAGTGATACGCTTCTCCGCAATCTTGCATTTTCCCTTTGTAGGTAACTTCCTCCGACACTCCATTTTCGAGATATTCTCACTAAGTACCCTCCTCCTACACTCCGTTCTGCAGATATTGGCACTGAATGTTTTAACAGCACTTGTAGATGTGTCTCGGCCAGACGTTCCACTTGCCCTTTATGAGTATCCTCTTCTGACGCTTTTCGAGATATTCGATTTGACATTACTAATGGATATATTTCTTCCAAGTGTACCAAACGCCCTTTCCGAGTACTCTCCTCTGATACTTCGCTCTAAAAGTATAGAACCAAGCACGTTAAGGGGTCGAGGAGGAGGACTGTGGTTGGTAGAAACTAATTTCACATTTCATTAGAGTACCATGAATGATAAAATACATTTCTAACCTCCACCCCCTCTCCCCGTCACCCACTCATCTTAAAAAGTTGCTAATGTAGAAACCAATTTCTTTCGATGAGACGTTTGATTAGAAAACCACGCACGTTACAATTTCCTTGTGGGACAATAATAGATTTATAACAGTCTTGAAATGGATTACTTTGTAATAGTAATATTTATCACTCACAATTTATAGCATAACACATACTTCACTTCGAATCGATGAACTGACTTAAAACAATTTGATTTGCTTACATACCAAACGCCGGTCTTTCTCGACAGTTCTCGAACGCTTCCGAATATTCTGGAATGTTCTCGAACAAACACGCCATATTTCCCGGAAAAAATGCGTCACATCCGCTTGCCGATCACTAATTTGTTATGGCGTCTCGTTGTCTATCGGGATTTCTAGCATATTCGCTACAATATACTCATAAACGAAGATAATACAAATGATAAAAACAACATTAAACAAATTAAAGCTCTTCAAGATTACACGCTCATTTTTCTTTTAGAAGTTGTCTTACTTTTTTTTTAACTGGATTTTTATAACAGTATAAACAGTTTTATGCGTCGCACTAGTGGCGATTTACTGGTAATAGGTACGCGATGAAGTGGGATGTGGAGATTCAGTCCTCTAGATTCATATTTATGCGTTGACTCATTTAATAAGTTACAAGAATGTTTTTGTTCCAAAATATATACACTGTGATCGATTTTGGGTGTCCAAGCGTATATTTTTTTAATTATTGGAGATGGGAAAATAGTGTAAGAAGCAAAAATACTCTACTTTCCATTTTTGAGAAAGTTACATGTTCAAACAAGTTGTAAATCAGCATATGCATGTTGAAAGCGCATTTTTGGTAATACAGATCAGTATTTTACTAGGAAAGCTTATAATTATCGATCTCACGAGTAATTTAACTCAAAATAGACTAGAGCACGCACATCTACATTATAACAGAAACCTTTAGTGAAAATTTAAAAGTCTCTAGCAATTGTAATTGCTGAGATCTCAGTCGGACAGCCAACCAGCCAGCCATATCGAATATTTTCAATTTTTCAAAAAATGCGTTAAAAAACAAAAGAGCATAAAATTAATTTTTAATTCTTAAAAAATGCGCTAAAAATTAATTTTATGCTCTTTTGTTTTAATATCCCTTGTTTTTTAACACATTCTTGAAAAAATACGCTATTATATTCGTTATGGCTGACTGGCTGGCTGTCCATCTGAGATCTCAACAATTACAATACATAGCCACTTGGAATAAAAGCAAATGTAGCGCCATTTTCCAAATTTCAGATTGTGTAGGATGTACAGTGCCAACTTTCTTATTTATGGAAGAAATTTCGTAGAGGTGTTTAAAAAAATGCGCTTTACCTACACAAGGGTTGTGCACAATTTGTACTTGTTTTACATAGAACGCTTACTTTTTCCTGTAATATTCTTAAAAAGCTTGACATTCTCTTTACAATGATATCAAATATGTTATAATTACCTTAGAAATTAAAGCTACAGTAATTTGTTTAGAAGCAATCGCAGTAGCCGTGGAAATTTAAACAAAAACATAAAATTTACAACAGGAAGCGAAGAAAACAAATGAAAAGCAGTTACAAGAATAATTATTATAACTTACGACAAGTTTAAACACATTGCACTTGCTTCCTATGTATTATCATTACATTACTTCTTTTAAAATTGTTTCATCATTTGTGTAGTTATTATTTTGTTGCATTGTGGTTCTTAGATATATTGTTCACTAAACTGATTTTGTGACAGAGATGACAAGTCAAAAACTCTCTTTTGTTTTTGTTTAAATTTCCACAGTTACTGCGATTGGTTTTAAAAACATTACTGCAGCTTAATTATATCATATTTGATATCATTGTAAAGAGAATTTCAAGCTCTTTAAGAATATTACAGGAAAAAGTAACCGTTCTATTTAAAAAAATTAATTTGATGCTCTTTTGTTTTAATGTCATTTGTTTTTTTGAACATGTAGTTTTATCAGAAATTTAAAGTAGAGTATTTTTTCTTCTTACACTTTTTTCCCACATTCCGTGTGCGCGAATTTCGAAACACCCTTTACGGTTACAATTTTTAGTTTATGTGCTCGATTTTCCGTCGTCTGTCTGTCTGCCTGTTCCATTAAGATCTAATCAACTTTGTAACCCAAAAATCCGATGCAACTGAACGTTTCTAAACTGTTATTGTTATTGAGCACATCGACAGACAGATAAACGGACAGATAGGCAGCCAGGAATACAAAATTTATAAACGATATCGAGGATCGTTAGTTCGTTACTAATTTAGCAGAGTGCATTCTTTCGACCTAGCGATACAATTTGTTTACAAAAAAATGGTTGTGTGTACAAATTCGTCCTTAATTTGTACATTGCATTTGTTTTTCCTAATTCTGAGAATTATCCTTTTTTAGAAAAAAATTGTTTAAATAATTATAAATTGTTTAAACAATGAAAATCTAATTGGGGTACAAATTAGTCTTTAATTTGTAGTTTTTAATGGAACTAATAACATTTCAATCGGGAAAAGTGGGAGCACCCCTACGTTAAAAATCGGTTTTCCGGCAGAACTAAGCGGGTACAAATTAGTCTTTAATTAGTCCTAAATTATAGGCATATTTTTACTTGATTTGGGCAAAGTGGGGGATGTGGAATGTTTTAAAATAAAACAAACGGTAAAACCTCCCCTAATTTGGTCGTCTGCACCGCCTTCTTTGAATCATGCACTAGGGAATCTTGGCAATGGTTGTACTCAGTTTTGAAAGCACGGTCACAAATCTGCGGAAATGACAGATGGTTTATTGGTAGACAATGTTTTAATGAAAATAGCGAGATTGTTTGGTTTTGGAGGTATTATAATATGAGGATTTCCGCGTTTTGTTCTACCATTTGTCTTTTTTTCGCGCTTTTTTCCACGTGATCAGCTGTCGCATGTCCATCATTGTTATCCTCTTTTTGCGTTTTTCCACCACTTTAGATTACCTAAAGTAGCTTTGGTTTTTAAAACTCGTGCAGTCGCTTCGACTCAAGGAAACCATTGGTCTCTACATTTTTTTTGCTCTGTTGGTTGACAGTTGATTTGACGGCACAAATCTATATGGCACGTCTATGACATAAGTTTTGATCGTGTATTGTATTTGCTAAACATTAGCTGTTTCGATCAGTCGAAGGTCGTCTTCGTCCTGTACATGGAGCTCGATTCCATTGTTTTCGGTCCAACTTCGAATAAAGGAGGTCATGAAAAGGTAATAATACTAGTAGCCCTAAAATATAAATTCGTTTGTGTGGAATGAACGTTTTACATACAAGACGATTCCCTTTTGATATTTGTATTGGAAAATGGAACGCCCGTCGTCGACGATCTTCTTATTTGCCGAAAGATACGTTCTCATTCGACCTAACGAGAATTTGTTTCGTGCTTCTCTTTACCCTGTTAAAATATTTTGAGCGGGAGCTCAATAATTATTATACCTTAAGTGTATTCACTGAAAAGGACTCAATTTGTCGATAAGGTCGAATGAAAAAGCATCTCGATCTTATGTAAACGTATTTCGAAGCTAATCCACCTCATATATCGTGTTCCGGATCCTTTGTATCCTCGGGGATTAATACTTTACTGCAATGAAACCAAATGTCCATTGTGACTTATTCATGAATTCGAATTAGTACGCTTACACCTGAGTTTTTAAGCTGGAAAATGGTTTTTAATTAAAATTTGTAAAAGGACCCGAGCGGGATTAAAATGTGTACTGTCGTTTCTACAAGAAACTTACCGCCTCAGTTGTCTATTAGCCAATATCACTCCCATTAGGGCAACGTTTGCGGCCATTCCCATAGATCCCAAAGCAAAAATAAGGGCGGCCTCGGCGGTTCCTCCGGGATGACATTGAAATATTCTTGTGGCGTTCAGGCTCGCGTTACTCGCGCTACTTCCATAACGTAAGTTGGCTCCTATCATCGCAACGGCAGAACCTGTCACAAACAATTCAACGGTTTTGATTTATCTCGTAACTTTCTCTGAAGGGATGAGGGATGGGGGTTGTCGCGATTTACATTTGTTGATCACGCGTAGAGTTGCTATCGATTGGAAAAGAATACATTTTTGACGTTTCTTAAGGACACACTCAGCAGTTACATCGATACGTATCGGTTACATCTCCTGTCCCTAAAGTGTAATGGAAACTTTGAGTTGACGGACCGCGATTTGTTTCGATTTTTAAACTGCCCTTAATTAGTTTACCAACTTCAATAATAACTCCCCAACTTCGCTGTATTTCATTTTTAATGCGGCGGCTAGGAGTTAGTCACGTTATTATAACTTATAATCCTTTTTATCGGACTGGAATAAACTTCGTTCATTTAAAACTTTGGATTCTGCGCAAAACTTCCCGAGGTGATGGATAATATACTATAATCCAGTCCCATTTACATTCTCAACATACAAAAAGCGGCCTTCCATTACTTCGATCCAACGAAAAAATATATGTCTTGCGAGAGAATTGATGTGGATATCATGTTAGACCACTAGAAATGGGTCGAACTTAGGAATCCTTCTAAATTCGTTTACTTCCCCCATATTCCCCTCTTATAGAAGGGGACGATGAAAAACTCGCCTATTTTTCGCAATTTTTCGATACAATTCTTAACGAAATACAATTTAAATTCTCCACACTTCGATATTTTCATTCGGTTTGTAATATATGAATTTGCCATAAGTTAGAATATTATATTGTTGCGTTTAAAGAGAATAATCAATAATGTACTGGGCAGAATTTGAGGCTCAAGGGGCACATCAGCACAACTACGCGGATTTAATTGGTCTATTGCAAGCGGGCGCATTATATGTTGCCGGGAACGTCTGGAAGGAAAGTCTGTCGTAAATGGGTTGTTAACTCAAGTGGATCTACGCATAGGCTTTTTGGGCTGTAGTTGACTTCACTTTTAGTGCAACAGCGAAATTGGAAAGTGTATAGAGTTAACTCAGTAGTATCTATCTCTTTTTCTAATCACAGAAGTAATAGCTATTTACATAAAAGTCAAAAAAATGACACATTACTGACGAGGAAGTATTGAAGTAGGAGGCCCTTTGGGTCCGAGTACTTTAATTTCCGAGTCACGTAATGTCAGTTTACTAACGCGTTTTGTATTAAATTTTACCCGAAATTGTATTTTGATATAAAATTTTAATGTTCATATAGAACTGTCAATCTGTCAATGGTGACAGGAGTCATTATAGAAATTTAGCAATGTGGCAAGTGCGGCCGGAAAAATGACAGGTGCGGTCGGTAAAGTGACAGGTGGCAGGAGAAGTAGTCTGATCTGTCTCTGGGAAACTACCTGACAAAGTAGGCATGAAAATAAAGGTTTCATGACGTTTTACCGAGTAAATTTGGGTTGTTTAGGCAATGAAAATCTGTTGCTTTGCAATTATACAACAAAAACTGTCAGCTAATAAAAATGCGACACCGAAGGGTGTTTGGTTTTTCTTATACGACCCTAAACTATATTTTTTCATATGGATCACCCTATATATTTTGGCGTTTTTGAAAAGAGCGTAAAATTTCCTAAATTTATTACATTTATATTAAATACAGAGACATGGAGAGGGGAGATCGGTGATCGACGAGTGCGCATCCAAGAAAGGATGCGACCTCATGGGCGCTGCCATTTTTACACCCTTTGTGTCATGTTGTGTTTATAGTGGTGTTATTTTAGCGTGTGTTCGTGTTTAGAAGAGCTTTTTTCGAGGTTTAAGTGTTTATTTTGTAACGTCAACGTCACTGGCATTTTCTTTTGTTCATTTGGATTGAGATATTAGTTTCTTCCTACGGAGCTGCTGCCGAATAGAGTGTAGTGTATGAAGATTGCGTTAGATGTCTCTGGGTTGCGTCAGTAAACCTTTATAGTCCTGTTCAAATTTCGCGCTTCAATGGGTGTCAAAATGGCAGCCCCCTTGTTTTGTAACTTCGCGCAGTTTCATGCGTTATCTCCCCTCTCCATGTCTCTGATTAAATATTATTTGCCATATTGCATTTTATACATTAAAATGTTTTTATTGTAGGCATCTAGGTTTCCATGGCGAACAAAAGATGGCAGGATTGTTTAAACAGGCAATTTCTTGGTTACCATTATTTATTTATATATTATATGACTTATTTGTTTTATTCGTATGTGTTTTTGCGCTCTTCGTTTTTTGTGTGTTATTTGAAATTAAACATATTTGGAAACTAATAAACATTTCCCAAAAATTGTCTTTTTACAAAATCCTCCATCTTTTGTTCGTCATGGAAACCTAGATGTCTCCAATAAATATATTTTTATGTATAAAATGCAATATTGCTCATTTGCAAATATTTAATATAAAACAAGGTAAAAAGGTTTTCGCCCTAAGGCGAGTACCTTCAGCGCATTTTCCATGTGCGCTACGTTTTTCTTTACTAGAGGCATATATGGTAACTAACATTAAAAAAGTTGACATTGCGCAGTCTGCATATCTGATTTTTACTATATGCGATATTTTTGCTTTTACTAGAAGTATGTGTAGTTAAGATTTCAACAAAATATATAATTAAATAAGAAAAGTGACAATGCGCATCAAGATTTTCTTTGACTCAGGTGCCAGAGATGTACGCTTCCGAATGCAAAAAGAACGAACTAAATATCTTGAAAATTGTAGGATTAGTTAAGGCCTCGGACAGACGGACGGACAGAGCAAGTGGCTGCAATAGTGCACCCAACTTGGTTGGAAAAAGCGCTTAAAAAACATTACAAGTGTTACATCCAAATTTAGGAAATTTTACACTTTTTTCGAAAACTCCACCCTATAGGTGGTCCATATGAAAAAATATAGTTTAGGGTCGCATAAGAAAAACAAAACACACTGTATAAAAACTGTGTATCGCAAAGGATTTTACATAAAAAAGTGCTCTAAGAAAGTCATGGGACATTAAAGAAATCGACTAAATGCTATAAACGCCCTCTGGCGGCCAAACGATTAGTGATAGCAGAATTCTGTTTGCGCCATTGATCTTCTCTTCAAAACTGGGCTCCAGACACCTAGGCGAACTTATTCCTATCTCTTAAAATATAGGGTGTTTCAATAAAAAGTGTGAAATTTAGATCATCCTGTACCTTGGGTCTTCATCATGATCATCCTTTTGAACGTCGACTTGTTGCGCAGGCACTTCGACATCCACTTCTTGATTATGATCTTCAGTTTCAAGTCTAGGTTGTTCATCAGGAGCTGCTAGGGGGGAACAACTTTGAATTTTTGGTGTACACCCCCCTGAATGAATTTGAATTAACGTGAATTAGTTCGAATTAGTGTGAATTAATTTGAATTAACGTGAATTACACACCAAAAAATGGAACTTTTTCCCCCCTAGAGGAGCTGGCTGAGTAACAACACTTGGGCTTGTTGATCCTTCTCTTTCTAGGGTCTAGAGCTAGATCAGAAACACTGTAGGATCACAATAGTATCGATCGCGACTATTTTTGAAAATAAATTTGAGCATCATAGACAGGGTCGGATCTACATAATTTGCGCCTATGGGCCCCTTGAAATCCCCCCCTCCCCCCCAACCAAAATTAAATTTTGCTCTTTACAGAAAAGTGTTTTCTTTCTCCTAATGTCCACTTGATTTAATTAATGGCAAAAACATTATTTATATTAATTATGAGATTTATAAAGTGTTATTGTAACAAAGTATCTGATTAAATAATGAAATACAATATACAAACATATAAATGTAACCACTCAATCGTGTTTCAGAGAATTCAAAGAGTCTAACGGTTACGTGGGGTCATGAAATTGATAAAAATCGTTAGAGAGCATCTTAATTAAGCGTTTTCAACAAAAAAATTGCGGAAGAAGCCCTAAATCAAAAGTTCACATAATTTCGTCGAAATGTGAGGTAATGTTACTCCATATTTCATGATTACTTTTAAGTTGGTAAGAGTGTGCGTACCATTCCAACTTCAATTTCTCAAGATGTTATGTTATTTTTCTACGATAGTACTGTAGAATTATTTCCCAAATGGTTTTTTAGCTCTCTTAAAAATTTGCCGCTATAGACCCCATGGTAAATCCGGCCCTGATCATAGATAGCAGAATGAGAATGCCTTTTGGGCTTCGTAATGCTCCCTCCACTTTTCATGCAGACACTGTTCGCGTGGAATTTCCAACAAGGAGCTGTCAAAGCAAGCGTATTTAATAGAAGCGCCCGGACAAGCTGATTGCTCGTTACGTGCAATGATTACAAGGGATATAATTAATTTGATACTTCCAAATTTTTAATTACAACCCGCGTTGGCGCGCATTGTTTCATGTTAAATCTAGAGAATGTAGTAGGAAATAATTGCGAGCGTGTTGTCGTCGATCTTTTTTAAACGGCGTCCTTTGGTCGGAGTTAAAAATTAATTTCACCCCTTAATTCGCACGACGCGACGCTGCAAACGTGCCTACCTTTTGTTCGGCAATCGGTTGCATTAAAAACTTTCATCCGAAGCGGAGTTATTCGCGTTTCTGAGCAATTTTTCAATATACGTACCGAAGTAACAGGATGTTGTGAACGTCTTTCAGAAAAAGTGTAATTCCGAGATGCTCGGCACGTTCTTGATGCAATTATTGCTCGGACGCGAGATTTTTCGCGACAAAATAAAGCGCTTCTTACGAATAATCGAATTAGAACGACTCGTCATTACCTACTTCGCGTGCCACCTCAAGGACGTGTCTAGTGTTCGAGATTAGATTTGCAAATGTATGCACATTTATTCGACGTTCGTTTCCATAAATCTTAATCTCGAATGGAACCGTCAGGCGTATTGTACATTATGCGGCCTTTATTGCTTGTGCGGAAAAGGTCTTCCTTTCTTATTCGAGTGTGTTATCTAAATTTTATTTGTGGAAGCTTCGACGTGCACTTCTCCGCGTGAATTAGTTATGTACTCCCTATATTGTGGTCACTGATGCC